GAAAAGCAGAGGAATGAAACCCTCTTAAAACAGCTCTGCCTTCCATAGATTTTTTCCTTTTCTGACTTTTCATCTTAACGAATTTCCATTCCAGGCCCGAGGCGAGGTTGGTTTCCCTTCCAATCAATGCAGGGAGTCTCTTATCACCAACAACTGATATTCACTTTCCACGCACTGCAATCAAAGTTAGCAACTGGAGCAGAACAAAACTGCTCTGGCTTCCAGCTCTGCACTTCACAAAGGATGTGACTGAGAGCATTTCTGCACAGGCTCCCTCCCAAGGTCCAACACAAAAGAAACACCGAAGGGAACTGGGAGATGGTGAAACAGAAGCTGAGCTCCATGTTGGAATGACAGGGCAAACATGGTTCTTTCACACAGTTCCTGCTGTCTGACCCCAAAGAGCCCTTGGAAAGACTTTGCTGTTCCTGCCAATGCAAAATCCAATCGACTCTTCACCTCAATAGAATAATTAGTTACTCCTGTATTGAATTACTCCTCAATTACTTCTGAACTTACTCCTCCTCAAACACTCCCGGGTGTTTAAAAGATGCCATGAGCACCACAAAGATCAGAATGTTCCCTTCCTCCTGCACTGCCCTCCCAGCCCAAGCACAGCCAGTACCTGTTGCCAGGATCATCCTGCAATCCTCCACTGTCACCCCGGTGAAGGTCGTGTCTTTCAGCCGTGGATACTTCCCAGGTGAGCAAGAGGAGAGAGGCACAAACACGTTACTTGTGGGGCATGAAAGAGGGACAAATGTCCCCAATTGGCACAGCTCAAGCTTGTTTTTAGTCCAAGAATTCTGTTTATCCACCCAACTACTGCCCTGCTCCCACCCCACAGAGCCCTGCCCTGAGTGAGCACAGGCACCAGGCACTGCAGCATCCACTGCCCATGTGTCCCTGGGACATTCCCAGGAACCCTGCCATTCCCAGGACTCCCCCCAAAGGAGGGGCGATGGCCAGTGCCAGAGCTCACCTTGTTTTTGTAGTAGTTGGTGTGGATCCTGACCAAGCTCTCGTACATTTGGTCACAGGCCTCGGGGTCAGCGATCTGCAGGGACACGAGTGTCACACAAGTTATTTTACACCCCCACAGCAAAACCCCCTTGTTTTCCACGGCCTGTGACAATGGCAGTGAAGGAGCAGCTCAGCAGACTTCCAGTGCACTGCTGGATACCTGCTGTCCTGCTCCAGGTCTTTCCCTTCCACTTCCCACCAGCTTGGCCTGCAAGAATAACCACACGTGGGATTTCCAGAACAGACCTTAAACTCTGCACCAGCTAAATCTGACAGATCAGTGTGAACACACAGTTAGAGAACACTGTGCTCAGCTTTCTTCTCACGTTTCCTGGCTGGGGCTGTGAAATCTGTGGCCCTCCTTGCTCTGAGGCCACTTCTGTCACCTGTTCCATTGTAAGGAACCAGCCAGGACAAGGTGGAAGTCAGAAACTCCCTGTGCAGGCTAAAAATAGCCTATAATTGATTAAGGAAAGCAGTACAAACGACACATAACAGCTTGGGAAGGGTAACTGGATTTCTATTTCAGACCAGGCTAATCCCCAGCCCGTGCCAGGTGTCCCAAAGGGATGCTCCTGCCTGGCACAGCCCCTGCCCAACAGTGTGGATGGCTGCTTTTCTATTTCACAATGGTGGGGGTTTTTTTCCTCTTTTACAATGGGGCCAACTTGTCCAGAACTCTGCATTGCTGCTCCACGACAACAAACCTGAATGATTAAAACAGGTAAGGAACACAAATAACATCAACAGAAACTTGTCAGGATGAAACGGCCTGGCTCCTCCTGGGACATGGGCACAGGGGCAGCACACACAGTGGGATGCAAAGCAGGAAAAGTAAGGAAAAGCTTTCCTTGTCCAGCAGGAGTGCCCACATCCCACTGCAGGTGAGCCTCACCTGTGTCCTGCAGCCCTATCCCAAACAGCCCTGGCTCAGGCTCCAGCAGTGACAGCACAAACAGTGATTAAGAGGGTGGCCCAAACAGCATCCCACCCCCAGCAAATCTTACTGCACATGATTAAAAGAGGCATTAGATTGCTAAAGAGGCCCTTATGGCTCTAGCTCCTCTCTCAGAAGCTCCTCCTGTCACACATTCCCCTCACTGTATTCAGCCTCTCTACACACAAACTGCCACCAGACATAATTCACATTTCCAGGATGAGTGGCAGCTTGGGGATCTTGGAGCCAACTGGTGCAGCACATCCAGCTGTCCTGAGCATATGGAAAAGCAATAAACTCTTCCCAAAATGTCTTTTACAGACTATTCTGGTCACCAATACAGGATTAGGAGCTTATAATGGTCCCTCGAAGTCGAAAACGCCATCTCTGGAACAATGTTTTTATGCTAAGAAAGGGCACATTTACATTCTGCAGCAACACCTCCACACCTGGGGAGGTCTGCAGCCAAGTCAGGCATCAGATTCCCTAATTTATTTCAGCAGCAAAGCCTAAACTCCGACAGAATTACAGCTGGAGGCGGAATTCAATTGTACAGGCACTGCACTCCATCAGTGTCAGGCAGTGCTGCAGCTCCCTCTGCCCACCCTGCAGCACCCCAGCGTGGGGGCAAGGAAATCACACCAATTAACTGCATCCCTGCAGGCCACTGACAATTCCCAGTGCTTTGTGCCCCACGCCCATAACCACGGGGACGGGGTTCTCCAAAGGATGTGGTGCAAAGGGTGCAAGAACTGGGTACAAACCAGGGGGGCTGGGTACAAACCACTGTCCTGGGTAGAAACCAGGGGGCCTGGGTACAAACCAGACATCCTGGGTACAAACCAGGGGGCCTGGATACAAACCATTATCCTGGGTACAAACCATTGTCTGGGTACAAACCATTGTCTGGGTACAAACCAGGGGGCCTGGGTACAAACCATTATCCTGGGTACAAACTAGACATCCTGGGTACAAACTAGACATCCTGGGTACAAACCACTGTCCTGGGTACAAACCAGGGGGCCTGGGTACAAACCAGACATCCTGGGTACAAACCAGACATCCTGGGTACAAACTAGACATCCTGGGTACTAGAGATCCTGGGTACAAACCACTGTCCCGGGTACAAACCATTATCCTGGGTACAAACCATTATCCCGGGTACAAACCATTGTCTGGGTACAAACCATTGTCTGGGTACAAAGCACTGTCCCGGGTACAACCCGGTGGAGGAACGAGGGATGTGGCTGATTGGGGTCTGTGCTTCCAAGGCTTCTGAGCGCTCACACAACCCCCTGCCCCGCTCTGTCCTGTCCCTGGAGGGGCTGAATGGACTCCACGCTCCCTGAGGGTCCCTCCCAGCCCAGGCTTCCACGCAGCCCCGAGGGAGCCCCACGTGAGCCCCAAATTCCTGCGGTTTGTGCCCAAAACCCCCCTGAGAGCGCGACCGCCGGCCTCTCCCGCCCTCGCCCGCGGGGTCGCGGCGCTCACCGGGGTGTTCTCGCCCTCACGGAAGGCCTGTGCCACGCGCTGCCGCAGGGCCGCGCCCAGGTCCCGCTGCCGCTTCGTCTCCTCCACGGGCCACTCCTCGCAGAGCCGCAGGAACCGCCGGTACCGGCTGGCGGCCATGGCGGTCACGTGCGCCGTCACGTGCGCCCGCCGCGTCACGTGGGCCGCGGGGACTCCCGCCATGGCTGGGGGGGGAGAGAAACACGAACACGGACAGACAGACAGACACACGGACAGACACACACCGGGACCCCCGTGAGGGACCACCGGCCCAGGGACACCTCCCCGGGCAGCCCCTTCCAACGCCTGACCCCTCCATCCGTGGAGAAATTCCGACAGCCATGGCACACGGATTCCTCACCGTGCTGTTCGTATCACAGGGAGCATGTGAGGGGTTTGGAGCACAGGCAGGAGCTGCAGATCAGAGCTCCTTCCCTGGACACCTCCAGGGGTGGGGACTCCTCCACCTCCCTGGGCAGCCCCTTCCAGTGCCTGACCACTCTTTCCATGCAGAAATTCCTCCTGGTGTCCGACCTGACCCTCCCCTGGCACAGCCTGAGGCCGTTCCCTCTCCTCCTGTCCCTCGTTCCCTGGGAGCAGAGCCCGACCCCCCCCGGCTCCCCCCTCCTGTCAGGGGGTTGCAGAGCCAGAAGGTCCCCCCTGAGCCTCCTTTTCTCCAGGCTGAGCCCCCCCAGCTCCCTCAGTTCTCCTGCTGCTCCAGCCCCTTTCCCAGCCCCCTCAGCCGCTCCTCACAGGACTGAGAATGGTTTGGGCTGGGAAGGACCTTAAAGCTCATCCCACCCCCTGTCACGGGCAGGGACACCTTCCACTAGTCCAGGTTGCTCCAACCTGGCCTTGGACACTCCCAGGGACGGGGCAGCCGCGGCCTCTCTGGGGGACAAACACCATGCAGGTGTATGAGAGGTGAGAAAGGAGGACACAAGATGCTTTCTGTCTCATTATTCAGCTGTTTTCTGTTCAGCAGCACCGGCAGGTGAGGCAGGACCCCCAGCCAGGGGTTGCTCTGCTGACGAGGGGCTCTGGCTGCTGTCGTCGTGCTCAGACCCTTCCCCACCCTTCCCGCTGTCACTCCTGGTGTCCCCATCCAGGGAGGCTCAGGTGGGGCTGTACAAACCCCTCAGCAAAGCCACAGTTCACTCTGATCACAGACCTCGGTGCACACAGTGCAGCCAGGATAATCCATGGCTCAAGCACTGCTGAAATTGGGTGTTTGTGGCTTTTTTTTCCAACCATCTTGAGTTTGTGGTCAAGAAATATGCAACACTGTGAACAACAGTCTTCCCTGGTGGACTTCAAGCCAAGTAAAATACACAGCTGGGCCAGATGTCTTAAATTTTCCAGCTATAAATTTCAGCAGCTCCCCAGCTGTCCGCAGTAAATCCAAGGGAAGGGTCTCCCTTAGGATCTGGTGTTTAAACCTGGGGAAATAACGACTCTCTTAAAAAAATACAGGCCTAAACAAAGGATAATGTACTTCAAGGATGCTGCGGGAGGGAAAAGAGATGGAAACTGAGAGTTACTCAGACAATTTTATTTATATCCCCATTCCCCGGTAATGGAGTTCTGTAGCTCAATTCCTTGTGCAAGGAACTTCTCCTTCAGGTTTCCCACATCATGCAGGAAGGAATTATATTTTGTTCCATAATAATAATAAAAGCTGTCCACAAAAGCTGTAAACATTATTTTGAGTCTTTTGTTATCCTCTCTTTCAAACACACACACACACAATATTTATATCAAAGAATTTCTGGGTGACCTTTGACGTCCAGTCCCTGACTCAGTCTCACACTTTTTTTCTTTTTATTTTTTCCTTTTATTAAGCAAAAATCCCTTGATGTGAATGTTTTTTTGTGACTGATACCTGACAGAGTCATCGCATTTCAGCCCCTTACTTAGAAAATTCCTAAAACACGCCCTGTTATAACCCTGCAGGGATGTCAAAGCTTGGTGAGGGGGCAGTTCTTGGTCTCCTGGAGCTGCACAGACTCTCTGCAGCACCTCAAGGTGTGTTTGAACCCCTGCACAGAGAACCCCGACCATCCCACGGCGCTGGGCAGGTGCAGCAGGAATGCTGGGGTGTGGTTTTCTCCCCCATGGAGCAGGAGCTGAATGGAACACTGCAGTCTGTTCATTCCTGCCCCAAACACCCAGAATCCCCTCGGCCCGCTCGGCTTCGTGAGCGTCGGGGTGAGCAGGTCCTGGTTTATCATTAAGACTCTTCCAAGTAATGCTTTCTTTGGCTCACAAATAAATCAAGGATAGCAGTAAAACCAGAGAGGAAAATAAATCTTCTGATGGATGGCAGAGAGAGCAGATTCTCCCAGCTCTTTGCTTTTCACGCTTCAGCTCAGTAATGGCATGTGGAGTTTTCAGCACTTCCCGAGCAATCCATGCTCATTCCACGCCGGGCACGGGGTGTCCAGCACCCGGGGGGTCCCACCCGGCTGACCCCGGGCGGTATTTGCAGGGCTATCGGTCACTAGGAAATCCAGGCTGTTCCACAGAAATTCTCATTTTCCTTCTGAGAGGCTCTGAAGGATTTTGATGAGATTCTCCAGGCCAAAAATGTAGCCGTGGTCCGGCCCGTCGTAGGGGGTGGGGCTGCTCTTGGAGCCCTTGAAGGTGGTGTGGGCAAAGTCAATCATCCGCACGTCGACCCTGGCGGGGTTCGCGCCGTGTGTTTTCGGGAGGGGAAGGTGATGATCCAAGGGGGCCGCGCTCTCCTTGGGCTCCTGCCCGTCGTAGATGATGAGGAGGGAGCTGGAGTAGAACCTGTAGGAGCTTTGCTTCCTGATGACGGAGAGCAGGGCCTTGAGCCGCAGGATGATGGGCTCCAGCAGGTCCGTGCGCAGCTGGTTCCCGGGGGACAGGAACTGGCGCAGGGTTTGCCGGAACCCCTCCGGGGAGAGCTTCCTGCCAAAATACTTGTCTTTGCACAGGAAATGGCCAGTGTCCGCCTGGTAAACCTGCAGGGGGGAGAGCGGGAATGCACGGAGTCAGGGATTGGAGTCCTGAGCTGGAGGGGACCTGCTGGGATCACTGAAGTCCAGCTCTGCTCACAGAAAGGTGTCGGACACCACAGAGGGACATGGGGTTTGACACTGTTTGTGCTGCTTTGTGTGTGCCCATAATCATCACTCTCATTATTATCCTTCAGGCAGGGTTTTGAATGTTTTGGAACCTGCTCGAGCAGAGTGAGGGAAAGAAATGTGTGGTTTGGGTTTCTAGGAGAGAGGGGGGGATTTCAAGCATGAAAAACCATCACACTGAGCCCAAAATGAGCCCCTGGCTCTCGCAGCACCAGGACGAGGTGGCTCAGTGAAGGCACGAGCAGGGCAATGTGGTGCTTTTGGTTTTTTTTTTTTT